GGCGATGATTGGTCGAGGGGGGGGGGGAATGGAGCCAGAGTGGAGTGGGAGTAGACGGTGGATGGTGGAGTAGGTGGGGCCGGGTCATTGCCAAGTATTCTTGGAGTCCTTACTTGGACTTTATGTCTACTTGGAGCTGAAGATAGGGATGGGAATGGGGATGGGGAGAGGGATAGGGAGAGGAATAGGGAGAGGAATAGGGATGAGGTAGGACATGTACAGTAGGTACCTAGGTACCTATGTACCTAACTATAACTGCGCACGTGACTGTGATTATAACGATGAATAAGGATTTCTCTCATGGTAAACGATTGGTGATTGAAACAAGGATTACCGTAGCTAACTTAAGCTTCGGTTACGCCTTTCTGATGGCATGTGCGACGGATGAAACTCAACAGGATAGGATAGACGCAGTACGTACCTGCGCACGGAGGAGGGTACACGAGAAACTGCGATGATTCCATATGAATCCCCCCTTTCGATAATTCACGTGAATGACTAGAGGCTGATATCAATCCCATTCAAGCCAAGAAACCGTTCGGCGAATGGATAGTTGCGGGCTGATAATGAGGAAAATTGAATAGGATCTATGCTACGTACGCAATTCATACCCGTAAAAAAAAAAAGGGGGGGGGGGGAGTATATAGACTCTCTTCTATCCTCTCATAAGAAAAGAATCAACCAAGTATCAAGGCTGCAAAGAAAGACGCCACAGGGTTGACGGGCGACCTGGTCGATGATGGTCGATCGGTATACGTAGTAGAGCTTGGATCCTAGACTCGAGACTCTAGGCTGAAAGACATTCGGTTCAATTGCTATACCGGTATACTTCATGTAACTTTTCATTATGAATTATGTTTCACGTAGCATCGTAAACCTTCATGAAAGAAATGGCTCTTTCTAAGCTAATTGCCGCTTGCTACCTAGGTTCTAACCAATACAGCCAGTGCTGTATACGTATCCGAACTCTTGGCCAAAGCAAGCAAAGAATCAATGGCCCTCATCCAACTTTAAATCTGGAACGAATGATTGGCTATTGACCGCGGCCGAGAGTGCTGACTGCAAACTCGGACATCGGATATCTTTGACTTTCCTCTTCTCTTGAAGGAAGCACCCGAAATACAAGTCACTACCGAGCCTCGTCCGCGCTGTTTAGATCTCCCATACGAAGCACTCCGCGCCCTGGATGACTTCATGCCTTGGCATTCTGGCGTCACTATCTGAGACGAGAATTCCCAGAGATGGATGCAGAGAGGGACACGGGCGTACAGCTAGAGCACATCGATTCGTTTGGTACAACCAACCGATCGACGGCGGTGTGCATCGATATGTTGTGCTCTGGGGGAGATTCGCTTGTGCTGCTACCACTACGTCGGCTGGCTCGTTAGTTGTGTATTGTTTTGTTTAGAGAGCCTCTGTTACGTATTTTTTGGGGGAAAGGCACCGCATTGCACTCCCGCAGCAAGGGAGGAACGGGCCAGTGAGACGAAAGGAGGGCTTTTCATTCCTGCAACAATCCAGCTGCTCTCTGGCCACTTTGGGTGCATGCTGGAGGGGACGACCTGCAGCTTGTAAGAACATAATATACATGTTGAGGTGCAAGTCAAGTGGCAGCAGCTGGCTCTATGTTGCGTTCCGGATGTGGAGTAATGCAGAGCAACATTACACCCTGTCTTACGTACTCCTGCATCACGGCCGGTTGGTATTTAACTCGACTAAAAGACATGACCTGTGAAAGTCAATTGAGAGCTTTCTGCCCTGGTGTCAGGTTTCCCGGATTTCCCTCGTTACGCACAGTGGTACATGGAGTCTGAGACATGCATATGGACTCGATGTCGAGGAAAAGATCTTCACCCAAGAGCGAGCTGAACACTCCAGCGTGAGGCAACAATACAGAGTATGTTTTTCTTCATCTGACAGGGGTCTAGCGTCTCAACCACCACTCACTTCCCAATATGCCAGCTTCATGTATACGGGGTATAAGTAGAGGCCGGCGGACTACCACTTTCCTCCTCTTGGATCTCGTGCTTCCGTTGCAGAGTTTTGAATTCCAGAATCAGTGAACCGACTCCTCTTCAAAATCAAAAAAAATGAGGTCTCAATCCCTGGGCCTCGCTGCCCTTTCTGCCCTTGCTTTCTTCCTTACCAGTACCGCATCGGCCAAGAGCCGCACTCGAAACCAGCGTCTGGCCGACCTCAAGTACAAGGACTTCAACTACCCGCCTCGAGTGAGCGCGCACCGCGTCAAGGATAACCAGGTTGATCTCGGCTACGAAGTTCACGAGGGAAAGCTGGTCCGTCACTCTGGACCTATCATCCATCCCTCTTTGTCGAGAACGTGATTTGCTGATGAGATTGTCAGGAGAATGACAAGTTCCTGTCCTTCAGAAATATCCCCTATGCCGAGCCACCCACCGAAGAGAAGGGTGGTCGCTGGGGAGAGCCGGTTTGCCCACAATCGGTCAGCCACGAAGTGAACACGGGCGCGGTTGACCACAAGTGTCCCCAGACTCAAGTAAGTCATCATTCCATATGCCCAGTATCTAAACTTGAGATATGCACAAGCGATAGGTGTCACCTCCACCTCACCAGCGGCTCCTCAGCGAAAGTGGGTAAGTAAACGGTCGCTAACCATGAGATTTCGTACTAGGTCGGGTGGGTACCCGTTGCCGAAGCTTTCCTGAAAGACTTTGCGAACACAACCAAGCTTCTCCCGGCCAAGTGGAAAAACGAAATCGACTCACCGGACTACAACCAAACCATGCCCGCACCCGTCCCAGGAGGTATGCTGACCCTGCCATCTCCCCCTCCCCTACCACCCAGCCTGACAATATCGGTCCTCAGTTCACGAGGATTGCTTGACTCTCGACGTGATGGTTCCAAAGGCTGTTTGGGAGAACAGGAACAAATCTGATGCGACGCCTGGTATGTCATTCCGCCGCCCACGGATCTGTCTCAACTCAGGATCGTCGCTGATCGAAACCAACAGCTGCTGTCATTGTGTGGATCTATGGTGGAGGGTATGTCAAAGCAGTGCATGCTCGTACCCACGCTTGTTTTGAAGATTGCGCAGGTTCATCTTCGGATGGAAAGACCAATATGGCAGCCCGGAGGGATTCTTCGACGCCGCCGAGGCCAACGATCCCGAGGATGGAAACGTCATCTATGTAGGTTTCGTCCCGTATCATTCGACGAGCCGCCACTGATTATACATAGGTCGCGATGAAGTAAGTTGTGTGGTAGCAGGGCGGCGGCGTCCGAGCCTCGGAGGCATGTACTAACAGCCGAATCTATAGCTATCGCTTGGGTGCTTGGGGATGGCTCGGTGGCCCCAGGTTCAAGAGCGAAGGAGGAATCCCGAATCTTGGACTTCTCGACCAAAACTTCGCCATGAAGTGGGTTCAACGTTACATTGAATCTTTTGGCGGAGATCCCGGGCAGTAAGCCAAGCCCAATCCCCCGTCTCGCTTAATTTGTTGACGTCGAGTAGAGTCACCGTGATGGGTCAGAGTGCAGGTGCTTCATCAATCTTGCATCGTACGTAATTCCCGTGCTCCCTCCCCCGTGCGATTCAGTGTTCAGGGTGAGGTACTGAGAACAGTTGCGCAGACATCACCGCCGGCGCTGGCAGCGAAGAATACGCGCCAAATTTCCAGCGAGCCATCCTGCAGAGCGCGGGATTCTTCCCCCAGCCCAACGCATCGCACGATGATTACATCTACTCCGAAGTCCTGCGCCTGACGGGGGCCGAGAGCCTGGCGGAGCTGAAGCAGCTCAACACCACCATCCTCCAGGCCGCCAACGCCAAGATGACCTACGACTCGCCGTACGGGATCTTCAACTTCGGGCCCACGGTCGATCTCGACTACGTGCCGGATCTTCCCAGCAAGCTGCTCGCCGACCCGGAGAAGCGCCACAAGGGCATCGGCCTGCTGCTCGGACACACGGCGTACGACGGCCTGCTCTTCACCCCTCCGTGGGTCCGCACGCCGGAACACCTGCGCACGCACGCGAAGAAGCTGTACCCAGGCATCCCGCAGACCGCGCTCGCCTACACGGACGCGCACTACCCCATCAAGCAGTTCCAGGATAGATTCCCCTGGCTGCCCATCGTCGCCCAGCGGAAGATCGTCAACGTCTCGGACTTCCTCGACGTGAGTTGCACATTCTGTTTCGGACGTACCATCGAGAGCGAGATGCTGACCCTCGCTGATTGATTGATCGATCGATCTAGGACATCGCCATCCAATGCAACTCCTACTACCTCACCGAAGCCGCGCTCGAAGACCAACAGGCCCCCGTCTACCGCTACGTCTTCAACACCCTCCCCGCCGTTCACGGCTACGACACCGCCTACACCGTACGTACCACCCTTCCCTCTCGCCCGCCTCCTCCTCCCATCTCATCCCCCTCCCCCTCCATCTCCTCCCCCCGCCCTCCAACCCAACCCCAAACCCACTAATCAACACCTTCTCTCCCCTCTCCTTAGTACTACCCATCCCCCAGCCCCTTCGGCACCGCGGACCCCACCCTCGCCAAGTTCAGCCAGGCCGCCATCGTCAACTTCGTGCGCTCGGGTATGCCCTTCCCCTCTTCCTCTTCCTCCTCCTCCTCCTCCTCCTCCGCCGCCGCCGCCGTCTGGCCCGCCTACACGCGCACCCACCGACGCGTCATGAACTTCGGCGCTCCAGGCCAGGCCGCGCAGGACTTCTCGCACAGTGTCGGCCCCGACGTGCTGGATAGGGAGAAGTGTGCGTTCTGGCAGGCGGCGCCGTATTGGCCGGTGGGAGAGGAGAGGTTTGTGAAGCAGGAGAATGGTGGTGATGGTGGTAGGTATGCAGGGTATTTCAAGGAGGGGTTGAAGAATTAAGAAAGGAAAGGGGGGGGGGGGGGGGGGGGGAGAAGTCATAGGTATTGCAATCGAATCGCATCCGAGAATGAAATTTGGTCGTGTAGATTGTGCGGTTGGATTTTTTAGATGTTTACGGAGAAACATGTAACTGGTTATAAGTGCTGTTGTTGTCCCTGTTGTCCCTGTTGTCGCTGTTGTTGTTGTCGCTATCATCGTTATAAAAAACCTACCAACTCGCAAAGTCCTCGATCACGCAGCTTCGCACGACACGACCCGACACGACACGACACAATACTGTAAGCGAAGCAACCCTCTAACCCTCCAACCCCAACCCCCTCTCCCTTCTCTTTCAAGTCTCCCCCCTTTCCTTCTCCATGCCCACACCTCCCGAACACTACAACCCTCCACCTCCCATCCACTCCTATCCACTCCCATCCGTCGATCCTGGGGAACGGGTCAAGTCCAGGCCTTTTTTTTTTCTTTTTTTTCTTTCTTTTTTTCTTTTTTTCTTTTTTTCTTTTTTTCTTTCTTTGTTTTTCTCGCGGGTGGAAAAGGTGATCACTTCACAGAAGAGGTTTGGGCTTTGGCGGAGCTGGCCGCTTCTGGGTTCTCCCAATTCATTACTAGGTGCGGATATCCTTTCCTTTTATACATATATATAGATATATATAGATATATATATATATATATATATATATACATATATTAGTTTTTTTTATATATGTAGATAATTTAGGGGACGTTATATAGAAAAGAGATCTCGCACAGATTTCGAACCTGCCCATCGCCCAGGACGGCGAGGTGGGTCGGTAGGTAGGGGGCAGGCACCATGATAGAGCAGAGACTCACGCCGGGCGCGACGGGAAAAACATGAAAACGGCATGAGCTGTGAGAAAAAAAAAAGAT